ACAATGTATCATATGTTGGTTTTACCAGTCAAAATCATATGCAAGATGCAAGGAAATAATCACGACACTGGTCAGCATCAAGTTGCAATAATATATTAGGTAATAGAAGCATCTACCTAAGAACTCTAATGAGTAGCTGATATCAACTATTAAAATCCTAACGATGTATTGACTATGACAAGAATCAAAATAAAATCTGGATGTAAAGGAACATGTTGCAACATCTGCTATCACATTATCATATATTTATTTCGACAAATTCTCTAGCATACTGCCTGAGGACTTCAGAAGTTAAAGAATCCAATAACACATATAGTGGACATGCTCATGAAGTCAATAAGCACAAAGTCAATCATCATACTCGCCAGTACAAAGTTAACACGTTGGTCCCATCCAAACATTGCTCTTCATGTAGTTGCATTAGGCTCTCATGATATAAGTACTAATGGCAGGAAATTTGTGATCAAATCCAAATAAAGATGACTCTAGAAATGAATGCTTATTTAATATAGGTACATGTTACTGGAAACAGAAAGCAATTTAACAGATCAACAATATCAAGGACCATTCACGTTGACCGTGTCAGTGGCATACATGTATATTCAGGTGACCATGCATGTCAGTAGAGCATGGCATAGTAAGCACATGCTATGACAAGAATCATTCATCTGACCTTGTGGCTTGTGCATGAGCTGACTAGAGTAGGTTCCCATCTATACTGAAAGCAACAAACCCATGACAATTACACAATATGATTGAGAATTAAACCACAAGATGGTTCAACTTCAACATACATACATCAGTTTCATGTTGCTGGCATTAAAAATAAACCCATTCTAGGGAGATTTTTCCTAAGGAAGAATTTCAGGATCCTTCTTGCCCCTCTACTCTTTGATGGTCAGAACTATTAATCACATTATTTTCCTGTGCTCTGTAGCTTCCTCCTTTAGGAACCCCTGACATGCTCTTTGGAGCTCAGTCCTTGTTTTTTGGGGCGACACTAAGGAGAAAACTTTCCTCCCAGATGAAGATGCTTATAGATTTCCTCATGATGGGCTAGCTGAAGGAAAGAATTAAGGGACTCTTCAACTGGGCTTTTGATTACCATTTGACATTGTTCATTGCACTTGCACAACATTCTGGTTCAGAGACTTCAGTTATGTGATATTTGATTTTGAAGATTTCTTGGCTCTCAGCTTTCAAGAGTTCTGTAATCTTTTCCCTTTCTTCTCTTGTTTCCTTTCCCATTTTAATACTCTTTATTTCTCTGACTTATTTCGTTGCTTAATGTGATAAAATTGTGGATTTATTGTATTTACCTTCAAAATACTATATTTGGTACAAATGTCTTTCTAATATGCAACCTTCTTGAAGATAGCTAACAATAAATGTACTTGCTGATGATCATAACCCAAATTCACCTGTACATCCAATGTCATACACAAGGAGGAACCGCAGACACTAACAGTTCCACGACCATTTAGCATTCACAGGCCTATGGATGACATCGGGACCAGCATCAGCTTATAGAACGGAAGCCATCCTTTCCAGGAAAGCACATGTCCCAATTATGAGTCCATGTTCTCTCCTTTCCTGAGGCAACTTGCTAGATTGACCCATTTTGAGGATGAAAATCTAGAAGCTTAGTTTCAATTTACTGGTCGAATCTACTTGAGTCTAAATTCGCATGCTTGGCTGTTCTAAACATAAAGGCTTGTCTTGGATCTATGGAAACATAAAGTACCAATTCTCACATACTAACTAACCTATATGTAAATATCGGTTCGAATAAAACCCTACCAGCTTCTTGGCAACACATTAATGAAGGCAAACTAAGTTCCTCAGATTACTAGAATCTGCACATATTCACATCGCTAGAATTTGGATGCCGAGAAGTACAAAGCTCAGATTCAACCTTCGCATGTGTATTAAAACATTGGATCTTGAAGAAAAGCGTTGAATCTTCATTGACAAGATAACAAAATACGATGGAAGGGGCTTTTGCCGATACCCGAGTTCGGATCGAGACGAAACCCAGCGGAGTCGTCGCATCCCTCTCCGTCTTTGGCCTCCGGACGGAGCTGAAACCGAGGGAAACGCGCGCTTATAGAGGGAAGCGAGTGGCTCGATTCCCCCTCCGTTTAAAGGTTTTTGAAAGGGTGAGGAAGAAATTTGAGTTGGCGCGTCTCGGACGGCGGATGATGCCCGCGTAATAAATCTAACTGGTTTAATCGGGCTAATTACATGTTAGCCAGCCAACGTACTTAGACCTCTTTGACGTCTTGATCTTAAACTTAAAAAGTTTATAATAAAATTTCTTTAGTTATGAAAGTAAAATATATAACTTAATTATCCTAACGTCGTTGATTTTACCGATGAAAGATATAACACGTGATAATTTCGATAGTGATAATAGATGATGATATTGTATAAAAACGATGGGTAAAAAGATAATTTCGATAGTGATAACAGATGATGATATTGTGAGTTGTTATGGTGATGATTAATGATAACAACATGGTAGTTAGCTTTGTTATATCGATTCGAACATAAACGATAGAGGAAGTGGAGACAAAACGACGAGACATCTATGTCAATGCCAAAGGAGGAAGATGGGAGAGGTGAGGCATCCGCATTGGTGTCATATTATTCTACCTCCTCTTCCTCCTCCAGCATCATTCTACATTTGTATCAACACTGGAGGAGGAAGAGGAGGCAAGTGGGGCATTTGTGTTGCTGACGATGAGGAAGGAAGAAGATGAGGCAAGTGAGACATTTGTATCAACGTTGCGCTCAAATCTTCAAACGGTCCTTTTGTCCAACGGAGGGATGGATTCAAGGAAGCAACTGTAGGTGACAAGGAGGAAGAGGTTGCAAGTGAGCTCGGTACGCCTGCTTCGAGCTCTCGAGCTTTAGTTGATACTCAAATGACACATACGCCTTGCCATAGCAATGTGGTCGTTGACATGCTTCTGGATCAACTCCACCCGTGATCAGAGGAGATTTTATCGGACAATAAGAACTGATCATTGCATAAAATGGAGGCTCAAAGAGTACAGATACGATGGCAAGAGAGACAATAATCCTCTATCATACTTTCCACTCACATATGACACCGTGGTGATGGGGGAGACAATCAGAAAGATGGCGATGATGGATATGGCAAGTGAGACGATGTAGAAACAACGGATCGTTGCACTGTGGTTAGCCTTCGAATTGGTAATTACCATTTTTGTTGGGGTTTCGAGATCGATCGATCGTATCCGCTCTGCCTCACCTACCTCCTCTTCCTCCTCCCTCCTCGTTGTCAACAATGCAGTTACCTCGCCTGCCTCATCTTCCTCCTCTAATGTTGAGACAAATGCAGTGCGGTGCTGGAGGACAAAGAGGAGGCAGACTAGTGATGCATCAATGAAGATGCCCAACTCCCTTCTCTTCCTCCTTTAGCATCGACACATATACCTGACCACCATATCTCATCTTCCTTATCATTGTCAATATTCGGATCGACATCAACAAGACCAACCACTGTGTTGTTGTCGTCAACTGCCACCATTAAAATTATCTTTTTGTCTATCATTTTTATGTCAATCATCACATGTTGTCATGACGTCGATGAAGATGCCTCACCTCTCGTCTCTTCCTTCTCCAGCACCAACACAGATGCCTCATCGCTCTACCTCCTTTTTCTCATCGTCGTGATGTTCATATCGACATTGATAAGATTGACCATCATATCATTGTCGTCGACCACCACCACAACAGTTACCCACGGCACCATCGTCGACTATCACCACTAAAATTATCTTCTAGCTCATTATCTTTGTGTCAATCATCATGTGTTATATTTTCTATCGGTAAAGTGAACGTTAGGTAAATAATGTTAAATATTTTACTTTCATAATTATAAGAATTTTAATTTAAAAAATTTTAATATAAAATTTATGATAAAAAATATATATAATTGGCCCAATTTACTGTTCAAGTATTTGTCAAATGTTAATGCAATACCTAGGACACTCGGACGAATAATCAAGTTTCATAATTATCCACTTTATATGGTTAAGGTGGACTTAATACTCGGAAAAATATAACATGTTATTATCCAAACACAAAACATATCCAAAACTAGAGTAATTCTTTGTTAAATGAGTCAATCTTAAGCCTAATTTAGGGGTTTACTATAACCGACTTAAACGGGTCGGATAAATCCAACATCCAAGACAACCCGACCCGTTCCAGTTGGTCCTCGCCTAATCCGAGACAGGTCAACTACAACCTCCCCTGGTCTGGGAGCAGGATCTAACATTGGATGGGATCATCTACAGTTCACTTTGTATAGAGGACTGAAATTTCACATCATTGCCGTCCATTGGTTCTCATCCTCCATCTACGTTGGATGTGCCACGTGACGGGTGACGGCTGATAACAATAAACGGCCGAGATGAACGATAGGGATCATGAGATGGTCGATATGCCGCCTGAGGATTGGACAAGACCTCAAATTTTGTCACGTCGCACATGATGTGGTGTCGGACGGATCCATCGCCGCGTGATTCACGTGGGACGTGGACGGACGGTGATGCGTTCTCATGCTTGATTACTGTCCGGTACCGTTGTCCTCTTCGCAGCCACGATAACCGTCTCAGCTGTTGGCTGTCTGTCACAACACAGCCAGAGGCACAACAGATCACGTGAAGTTGGCAATGCCGACATTTCTCCAAGTGATAAGGATTCTCCCCCGACAGCGTGCGTATGACATTCGGATCGAACGGTTTTCAGACGGAACTTTAACAAATGGACGGGAAAGATGCGAGAACAAGAGGATGATGTAATAACTACGTTGGAGAGGATCCGTCCCCTTAAAGCAGTCGATGACACCACACCGTTAGCGACGTGTACAAAAATCAACCTGCGCGCTATATTCGTGGCACGTCGTGAGAGAAGGGTTCACTCTGCTCCCGAATCCCCTCCTCTCTCTCTCTCTCTCTGCTTCGTCTCTCGGATCGATCCAAAAACCCGAGGGATCGCTTTCCGGTTGCCTTGCTGCCGCTCGAGATTTGTTGTCCGATCGAAGGTTTTCGGTTGGATCAGGTGTTTGCCTCCGCTTTTGGTCTTCACCCGCGAAGATGGCCTACGGCGATCGCCTCACGACGTTCGAGGATTCGGAGAAGGAGAGCGAGTACGGATACGTCCGTAAGGTGCTTCATGTTTTTCGCCGGAGCTTTAAGTTCGCTATATCTTGTTGTGGATCGGTTTCTATTGTTGATCAGATATTCTGTGTATTAAGTGCTGATTAGGCTTTTTCTTCATGGTCCTGCCGATTCATCGGTGTGTTATTGGCATGATTGGAAGTGAGCGTAAAAATTGAGAAGATGTGTTCTGACAAAGAAAGTGAATTAAAATTGTGCTAAGTAACGAAGATGAAGTTCGGTAGAGATGAGCTGAGCATTGGGCAAATGATTTTGACGCGTTAATCCAAGTTTAAGTGCGTTCTTGATGAAGTTGTTATAAACCCCTGGGATATTCCAGTGGACCATGTTCCCCTGTGATGATTTATCTTCAATCCATGTTTAGATCACAATTTAAAGAAATGGCCCCTTTTCCTTTTTCTTTTCCCTTTAGTTCTTCGCTCAAGTAGAACTTATCTGGAGATGATTGTAATTCTGTACCGAACTGCTGTTCCAACTTTATTGGACAACTAATTTGTTCTTTATAGATAACGTGGCATTCCTGTTCAATTATTGAAATATTCTAGTGGGTTCAAATTTTGATGTTTTTGATTAGCAAATGGCTTCACCTATTCAACAGAAAGATCCTATCAAATGTATCCAAGAGAATCTAGTCCCCCAGGTTATTAATGAAAATTAGTCCTTTCCTCTTGCGGATTTGCACCTATCAAAGAGTTTCTTGCACTCTCTGTTCCAATGGCCAATTCTTCAGATAATTATATCTAGCTGTGTTACTCCTAAAAGATAAGGGAACGGAATGAATATTTACTCTTCAGATTCACTTTGAGTTAAAATTTGGAAGAACTTGATCATGTTGTTTTTTCTTCTGGGTTTTTTTCCTTCTGTGATCTGGCAGGGAAAATAGTTTTAGCAGTCTAAGTGGAAGAACTGCATCGTTGGACTATAATTGTTTGCAATACTACAGTGGTCTTGTCTGGACCATCTTCCCCATTTTGGTACATTTGATGTCAAACTTATTTTTTGATTTTTTTGTCGTGCTTGATCATTGTATATCTTTCACACACATAGAGATGTCGATGCCATTGTAATTTTGTATTGGTAAGTTGAAGAAGACATCCATTTACTTGCTTTGTGACTTTTGCTCTAATATCCAAAGCTCCCGATTTTAGTTGATTTATTTTTTACAGTGGTATTGCCCAAAGGCCCCAAACAATCTGACCCAAAGGAGGCCTTTAATTGTTGTCAATCGGGGAGGGCCAGCCTGATGACCTGCACAATTTATTAGTTGAAGGTTTGCTTAGGTCCTTGACTAGATTGGTTATACTTCAGATTTTGTGGTGTGGACCCTGCTGTGGCAAAACTATATATGGATTTAAATCTTAATAAGGTCCTCTAGCTATCAGACCTGGCCAGCACATTGATACATTTAACTATATTGTACAAAAGATTCCACTAATACACCTTGCATTGGTATCAGCCTCATCAACTAAGCTACCTTTTTAGAATATTTTATTAAAACTTATTATCATAATATTGTATTTTCTTGGTTATTATGTAATTTGGAAAAATATGGTTTTTGTGTGATATCGGATAGCCTTGATTATGATGTCCACTCAGAAATGCACTTTCTTTTTTTGCTGCAAGATGATATTTCAGAAGAAATTAGTCTTAATGCAACACTTTGACCTTTCTCTTGCCTTCAAATTTTCAGGTTTCTGGACCCGTTGTTGTGGCCGATGGAATGGGAGGTGCTGCTATGTATGAACTGGTTCGTGTTGGTCATGATAATCTTATTGGTGAAATTATCCGTTTGGAGGGTGATTCAGCTACCATTCAGGGTACAGGACTGGACAATTCTTGTCTACTATAATAGTATTATATGAATTTTTGTCATGTTATACTGCTTTCTGTCGCCAGTCACTTTAGATCTTGCATATTAACTTTGGATTTATGAAACTATTTCTTATCACTTTTGAATCTCAGTCTATGAAGAAACTGCTGGTTTGATGGTCAATGATCCTGTTTTGCGAACTCGAAAGGTAATATTAGAGACCTTAAATACTCATAACCAGTACAGTTTCATTACAGTCCCATCTGAATCATCATGAATTCAAACTTTCTGTGCAGCCTCTCTCAGTGGAACTAGGACCTGGAATTTTGGGCAACATTTTTGATGGCATTCAGGTCTGCTTGAAACATCAATAATTGAATTTGGTCGCTGGCATGTACTTTACTGCTTTACATGATGTATAGTCGATGTTATTCATGCCGTTAGCTGCCTAGATGGAAACATGTGGCTTGCACCATCTAACTTGACTACAAAATGATCACAACTTCTTGCTTCAACCATGTATACAAATTGTCAGGATTGTTTTTAGGTAAATATATGCAAAAGTTTCATTCCTTGAATCGGCTAATTATACTTTCCTGATAGCATATTCCATGTTCTTCCTACAGCGTCCTCTGAAAACTATTGCCATCAAGTCTGGTGATGTCTATATACCTCGTGGTGTTTCTGTTCCTGCACTGGACAAAGATATATTGTGGGAATTTGATCCTAAGAAGTTAGGTAATCCTGCTAATTGCATATAGCATGAGTTTAAATAGCCTCTTATGCATTTTTTATCAAGTCATTGAATTGTTGCCTTCTCTACATTTTTAAGAAGTTTATGCTTTTTTTGTACTTCCTCCAGCTGTAGGAGATCTTCTTACTGGTGGAGATCTATTTGCAGTAAGTTCAACAACCTTGACATTTCTTGAAATTTATTCTCTTTTGAAAATCAGTGTATTGACTCTTGTCCAAGATTCTCATTTTCATTATTAAACATGCAGACTGTCTTCGAGAACACATTGATGCAGCATCATGTTGCTATTCCTCCAGGTTCCATGGGAAAAATTAGTTACATTGCCCCTGCTGGTCAATACAATCTGAAGGTCTGTGACCATTTCCTTTCATATTCATTTAGGCAAGCTGATTATGATGTTCTTCTCCTAACTTTACTCTTTTGTCTTTTACTGCCACTATATTCACAGGATACAGTACTTGAGCTGGAGTTTCAAGGTGTTAAAAAGCAGATCACTATGCTCCAGGTTTGTGGTTGTCTGTTTTTTCCAATTATTTTACAGTATGGCATCCATTGTCTGACATTCTCATTTGCTGCTAGAATTCTGATTTATTTTATGCAGACATGGCCAGTGCGTACACCAAGGCCTGTTGCAGCAAAAGTTGCAGCTGATACACCACTCTTAACTGGGCAGGTAAAATTGCAATAAGCAATGAACCATTATCCTTCTTTAGCGACTTGGTTTTTCTCATAGATTCTGTAAGATATACTTTATGATGATTGTACTTTGTTCTGAATTCTGCAACTGCTGTTCAGCGTGTACTTGATGCTCTCTTCCCTTCGGTTCTTGGAGGCACTTGTGCGATACCTGGAGCTTTTGGTTGTGGAAAAACAGTTATCAGTCAGGCACTCTCAAAGGTAAATATTTCAGAAGATATTTCTTTCTTTTTTTTATTGGTGATCTTAAACTTACCCTTTGTCAATGCATCCAGTACTCTAATTCTGACACAGTGGTTTATGTGGGATGTGGAGAGAGAGGAAATGAAATGGCTGAGGTTTGTTTCTGCATTTCATTGGTTTGTCTTTTCTTGTTCTATTGGTTGTTAAATATTAACCAACACCTCAGGTTCTAATGGATTTCCCACAACTAACAATGACATTGCCGGATGGTCGTGAAGAATCTGTGATGAAGAGGACAACACTTGTAGCAAACACTTCCAATATGCCGGTGGCTGCTCGTGAGGCCTCCATATATACAGGTATTTGTTGAATAGAAACGGCAAACTAGTGACAATCAAGAAAACACAAGACCTTAATGCCCTATCATGAGAGAGAGCTAGTCAATGGAAGCCTGACACTCTACTGCTCTTCAACTTACAACAAATTATCTTTTCATATTAAAATATTTTTCCTAAGCTGATATAACTGTGGTAAAGACACCAACAAAAATCTTTCTATTTATTTTTGGACTGTTAAAACTTTTTGTTGTTATTTATGTCATTAGGACTATTACGAGTTCGGATATGTACACATGTATTTCTTCTTTGGCTATTCTGTTATGTCCAAGAGTTTATCTTATTTGGAAGACTGATGTTTAGAAAGATTTCTAATGCTGGGGACTGATATTTTTTATGTTAGTGATAAACTTTATATTATCTTTTTTATTTACATTTTACACTTATTGAATATCGTAAATCTTATACATAACATTAGGCATAGAGTGTTAGCACACTTGATAAGAAGATGATATATAGGTTGAAAAGTTGTCTGACCATTTTCAACAAAAATAATCCTTGTGCATAATGATCACTGTTCTACTTCAAGTTTTGTGTAAATCACAAAATTATCCTTGTGCAAGGTATTTTGTAATCTGCTTTCATCTTTTGGTGCCTATCTTAAATTTAGATTTTTCTTCTGCTGTTGCTGTTTCAGATGTTAGACATGAAAATGAAAGGAAACAAACTACAAGTAATGCTACCCTTACCTTTTATATGTTGTGCTTGTAAATGAAAGGAAAGTCAAATAAAATATGACAATCTTGATCCCAATGTAATCATCTTTTAGTTATGGACAAATATTTCTTTCTTATCCTTTCTTTCACAAACTTCCAAGTAATGCTTTAAAGAAATAAGGACTAGCAGAGGCTGGAGCTTAAGCCGCTATATGTTGGTTGCTGTTATGGCATCCTGTGTCAATCCTTTTTTTCTCTCTTTTTTTTTTTGGGTGAAACAATAGTTATCCAGGAGTGTATTTATAGATAATATTGTTTGTATTCTGCTTTATCAAGCGCTTTATTGATGCAAACTGTGACTGCTAATTTTCAGCTATATTTATTTCTCAGGCATCACTATAGCTGAATATTTCCGAGATATGGGCTACAATGTTAGCATGATGGCTGATTCCACCTCTCGCTGGGCAGAGGCCTTGCGTGAAATCTCTGGGCGTCTGGTATTTGTCCTTTTCATGTCTCCCCTGTTATTTATACTTTTACATAAATATGTACACATGATGTTTTTTTTTTCTTTTAATTTATAGCCCAACTGGTTTTGTTCCTTGTGGTAAACATCACCTCTTTCTCAGGCTGAAATGCCAGCAGATAGTGGTTATCCTGCATATCTGGCAGCACGTCTAGCATCTTTCTATGAGCGAGCTGGTAAAGTGAAATGTCTTGGTGCGCCAGACCGATCAGGTAGTGTCACAATCGTTGGCGCTGTTTCTCCTCCAGGTGGTGATTTTTCAGATCCAGTTACTTCTGCAACCCTTGGTATTGTTCAGGTAATGATGCATTGGTTAGTTTTCATCAGGTCAAAGTATTCCTGGATCTTGTGCTCTTCAACCTTTTGTGAATGCATTGCAGGTCTTCTGGGGACTGGATAAGAAGCTTGCTCAAAGGAAGCATTTCCCATCAGTTAATTGGCTTATATCTTATTCCAAGTACTCAAAGGTCTTGTGCCCTTCATCTCTTTGACCATCATGTTTATCATGCAAGATAAGATAAGCTTGGTTTTTTCACCTTGTTGGTTAGACAATCATGCACTCACATATTCAGGGACATACACTAAAAATATCTATGTCATGCACCTTTTGTTTAATTTGATAGCAATGATTAAGTAAAAGTAATGCATTACTTTGGAATTGCCTGCAAGTTTTGGATATTCACTCCAGTTATCTTAGGTCGTTGGACATTATTGATAACTACAATTTGTCTTGCTCTTAGAAGTTTTGAACTACAGAATATTTCTGGAAGTGTTACATTTAGGATTCTAATGCTACCTTTTGATTATTATTCATTTTTATCACAGGTAGTTTATTCTCTTGGCTAATATAAATTAAGTTCCTCCATTGGTTTTTATTTCAGGCTTTGGAATCTTTCTATGAGAAATTTGATCCAGATTTTATTGACATAAGAACTAAAGCTCGTGAAGTATTACAGAGAGAAGATGACCTAAACGAAATTGTGCAGGTTTACTATTTTCCTCACCTGGGATTATTATGGTTTTAGTTCCTGCAATTCATTCTGTTTTTTATATGTCTTAAAATTATGAATTAGTTTTAGTATCAGCTTCCAGTTTTATCTGTGCTAGAATTATTTACGGCATTTCTTTTTTTTACTATGTTGGGTTTCCAATACCATATCCGATTGATTTTAAATGATATCTGCATTAACTTTAAACTACTACTGGAAAGTAAATTCTTACATATCCGCCTTTGATCCAAATTTATCCCTCAAAATTCTGTAGCTTGTTGGTAAAGATGCATTGGCTGAAACAGACAAAATTACCCTGGAGACAGCAAAGCTTCTGAGAGAAGATTATCTTGCGCAGAATGCTTTTACTCCGTGAGTTCTGCCTCTTCTTTATGATAAGTTTTGCCGCTAGCATTATATTTAGCTCCCTATTCTTTACAGAGTTGCCGCTTATTGATCTCCTTTGTTGAATACAGATATGATAAATTCTGCCCATTTTACAAATCAGTTTGGATGATGCGTAACATCATCCATTTCAATACATTGGCCAATCAGGTAATCATAGGATGGGTTTTTTTGGTATCACTAGGTTGATCTTGCTCTCCAAAGAATTGTGCCATAGCAAAGAATCAATAATGATCTCATTGAATGATCTAATTATCTTCATGCATTACACAAAAATTGTCCTGTCCGTAAACATGGTGGTAGAACTGCTTCCATTGTAGTAAATATTTCATAAAGTTTAATTTTATTATAATTGTGCAATTTTCAGGCTGTAGAGAGAGGAGCAGGTCCTGATGGCCAGAAGATAACATACAGTGTCATTAAGCATCGCTTGGGGCAACTCTTCTACCGACTAGTGTAAGCGGGATTACTCTTGTTTATGACACGAGTGTATTAATCCATCCTTTATTAGCCATGTTTTCCATAGCAACAATCCATCTCTTTGTCTGCTTTTTTTAGGTCCCAGAAATTTGAAGATCCTGCAGAAGGTGAGGAAGCTCTTATCGCAAAATTCCAGAAACTGTATGATGACCTCACTGTTGAGTTCCGCAACCTCGAAGATGAAGCACGGTGACAGACTATATAAGTAACGACGATCTCTCTTCCTATTTACTTGTCAAGCTGTGGGTTTCATAAGCAGCCTCATTTTTTCTCCTATGTAGCATTATGGCATGATCCATGTTAGTGACCAAAAAAGTTTTGATATTTGTAATAACATTACTTAATATGTCTGTCCTTTGTTGTCTAATGTAATAATCAACGAGTGTCTATCTTATAAGTTCTCTTATAATAAAAGGTGGATGTATAAATCTACAAACCATTATGTTAATCCATCTATTTGGATCTCAGGCATCCTTGGTGAGTAATTCACTTGTGTTGCTTTCTTGATTTGCTTTATCAGACAAGCAATTAGAGATTTTGGTGTCCATCGGTTTTTGTGCTTATTAATTGTATTAATTCAATCAAATAGTTGAATCATCGATGCGTAGCACACGAATTGTTATCTCATTAATTTATGACTTATTTGATCTTTTTGGAACTTATATGCCCTTTGGATTTACGTTGACCTTGTCGAGGTTTTGCTTTGGCCTTGACAAGGTTTGCTTTGACTTTGTATTAATCTCGGATTTGCTTTGACCTTGACAATGTTTTAAATGCCCTTTGGTTGAGACCCTCCCTCCCTCCCTCCTCTCTCTCTCTCTCTCTCTCTCATCCTTGACCAAACTCGGTATCTGCTACTCTGAACTCAGGGAGGCGAGCTCACAACCTTCACTATCTTTTATTGATACAATTAAGCTTAAGCCTCCGACCCGTCTCTCAACTCACCTTTATAAGTTTTCCTTTTCTAAAAAGGTTTTTTTTGTTTATTTAATCATCTGCGAGAGACCCTATAACTGGTCTCTATTTCCGTTGACAACCCTAAAAATACACTTCCATTATATATATATATATATATATATATATATATATATATATATATATATATATATATATATATATATATATATATATATATATCTTAAGTTTAAAAAAAA